TTTATACCTCAGAAAAATCCCACCGACCTCGGCTGGGATTGAACCCAGACCCATCGGGGTGTTAGAAAGCAGTCACGCTTACCACTACACCACCGGCGCCGGCGCAAAATCTCACTAAAACAACGTTGCTAGTGTAGCCGTGTAAAATCGATTTCTTTATTATTTTCAACCTTGAAGTCAGCTGTCAAAGTGTCAAAAAAGGAACGAGAGATTCGACCCAATACGTTACTTTTGAGTAAATTGCATATTCTCAAATTTACGTGAATGAAACTTAATTTTCGGTAGAATATACTTAAGAGTAAGTATTTTTTTTTGCTGCTGTTAAATGAAAACTACGGTATGCGATTTACTCAAATTTGGGTTATTGGGCTGAACCCGAGAATTGAGGGAAAAGTACTTAATTTTGGGTAGTTTTTCATCCCCGTGTATGTCCGTAAGCGAACTACACTCAGAAAAAAAATCTAATTAGCATAAAATTCACACTGAAACGCTATTCGCCTGGTTGACCCTGCTGCGTTTAGTTGCCAACGAAACGAGCCTAGTATAAACTTGAAGTATAAGGGGTATAGTATATCTTTTGAATATACATGCGTAAATTAAATCTCAGAAACGATTTCCACGCACCCAGGTTTATTTTAGTTGTCAAAACAATCATCAATATGATAATAACACTGACAGAACTGATATGTGAATTGCTCAAAAGCGCCATTCCCATACGATGGAAGTGCTTTGAAAATCGCCCTTTTCAGCTAATCACATATTCAATCTTTCGACGGCCGGCGCTGATGGTGTAGTGGTAAGTGTGACTGCTTTCTAACACCCCGATGGGTCTGGGTTCAATCCCAGCCGAGGTCGGTGGGATTTTTCTGAGGCATAAAAATCTCTGGTCACGTCTTCCTTCGGAAGGGAAGTAAAGCCGTTGGTACCGGCCCATGTGTGTGTTGAATGGGTGCGATATCCTACGCAGGTATGGAAGATGCCTTCCTGCACATTCGATTGCCGTCAATGGATGGCAATCGATGTCCGTCGGTAATTGTCACTAGATTGCGGAACAGAGACCGACGTTAAATAAAGGAAAGAAGAAGAAGAATCTTTCGACATTCAGATGATACCACAGTTAAAGATTTTAACTTCGGCCATCTGTTCCATTTCTCCATGATTGAATAGAGAACTAAAGAATACACTGGTCAAAATACTCTCGCACAAATCCGGTTTAGTTGAAACTACATATATACTGAAGATAGTATTTTTTTTTTTTTACTAAGCTACGTGTAAACCTCGCAAATGACAAAAATGATTAAATTGTAAACCAACGATGACTTCTAATATATCAGAGCGTAGTTTTCTAAAAGGGTGTATTCCCGTACACAAAAAAACAAAACTACCGAACAGTTGAGTTATTTTATATTAGTATTTAGAAATGCCTCTCACGTTAAGAAATACAAAATAGCCAATGAGAAAATAACTCTGCCATTTATAGCTAACACAAATGTTTACATTCGTCATGTATGCGTAATGTTCGAGTCTTCCGTCCGAAGCTGTCGTCGTAATGTAAACATTAATTGTAGTGGTTCCAGAATTGATTGAAATTTTGGTATTTGCTACAAGCTACGGATTGCTGAAATGCACTGTAGGAAGTGATGTTGTGTTTTGCTTATTAACTGAAATATGATTCTGTTCATAGACGTTTTTGTGGAACTGATTGTTCAATTCATTAATGAACTTTTACAGTTACCTACCCGCTGAAAGAATTCACATCAATATTATCAGGTATGTCAGGCTGCTATCATTGCGAACTATACATAATGGTTATAATTTCCTGTGCGTCTCTCATCACTGGTGGAAGTATGTTAGAGAGTGTCGCAGTAGGTTATTGCTGTTCAAAAGAGGGTGCTTGCCCGGTAGGTTCTGAAGACAGAGTGATGAATCTTCTGTTAAAACATACTAATCCATTTCCCTCTTATCACGGCCACTCACTGGGTAACAGTAGAGAATATGTGGTCTATTTAGTATAAGAGAGGAGAGGAACATTGCCAAAGTAATCGAGATCGCCGTTGCTTGATTGGCTCTGGTTTTGACAGTTAGTTTGGTTCAATACCAGCTAGTCCACTCCTCTCTTATAAAGTTCCGTAAAAATGACCGAAGTCGGTTATCGTTTCTAAGTGTGTACCAGATGCTGCTGTTGGTTAACCTAAATTAGTCTTAATCCCCCTTTTAACATGTTGCTCTAGACTTGACTTGACAGTTTGTTATATGTGTGGTCGTGAGATGATCTATTTGGCGTTTATGTTGATTCTAAAAGCATCGTTGTTTAAATTATCTGGATCAATCGGAAAGAAAACACTGTCTCTTTCTTTCTCATCAGTTCTTACGCGAGAAGTGTAAGTGACGTCAACAATGTGGTAACGTATGAATGATAAGGAATGAAATAGGAGCGCAATTTCACATGTCGGACCTTTCTAGATTGAGGGTCATCGGGGCCGAAGTTGCATCCATTTATAGACCCAATTTGAGTACAGTAGACCGACATTCCATCCACGTACCTGAGTTTTTTAGGTTAAAATAGTGAATTTTACAATTTTAGGTCGTGCTTAATTAATATCCAAATAATAAGAATATCTAAACTTCCATGTTACAAGTGAAATATCGTTTGCAGCTCAATTATTAAATAAGATATGACATAAAATGTAATTGAAGGTTTCATATTAAACCAAGGTTAGGGACATGTACCCTATACCTTTTGAAAAATTCCAGTTTTTGTTACTAAAAAAAAAATTAACGTACATATTCTTCCCAGAATTACTTTACTTTTCTAAGCAACTTTGTCTCAGACGGCATTTCGATCAGAAGTGACGGTTTTGTGCTACAATTTATTGAAAAATGTCAGGGACGCCATTTTGAAAAAAAAAACAAGATCCATAATGGCAAAAATGTGAATTATTGCCCATCACACAGTTATGCAAAGTTTCATGCATATTGGAGAAGGTCAAATCTTAAACATTTATTTTCTTTATCTTCACTTCCAGAGTGGTCAAGAGTTAGGAGAAATCATTTTGAAAAAAATTTGACTTAAATTTATCACAATAATTTTCATATTTAAAGACTGCAATGCTTCTAGTCATTTCTACATATCAGGAATGCCCCCACCATGCGCCTCCACTCTACCCTTGAAACGGGCAGCCATCCAGTCTGGATGCAATTCGCTTTTTAACTTTTGACCAAAGCATTTGAGGTTAGCTAAAAATAAACAACATCCGAACGTGCGAATGATCGGTCTCTTCTTCTTCTGCTCAGATAATTACATATCTATCTATATTCGATACGCTCTTGACCTTTCCTGGACAAGAATGCACCGAAATCCGGACACTTAGTCCATAAATCCGGACACTTTTAAAAGTTAATTATCAAAGCCTGAGCATGGTCAAAACAGTACGTAAAATTTATTATGAATTTATGTCATCGTTCAGAATCATCAGATATGTTCATTATGCTGCAAAGTAGACGTACTAATTAATTAAAAATAAAATGTCCGGATTAACGGACTGTCCGGTATTCGGTGCATTACGGTACCTAGTACAAGTGAAACCGATTCTCGATTCTGTACCACTCATGCCAACAGCAAGCATTACATAGCTGCACAATCATCTAGTCATCCGGAAGAAGCGCTCCTCCTACCTAACGTAGCCTGCTGCTGCTGTGATCAAAACCCCGGAACCACATAATTCAAAACACCGGAACCTCTTCGATGCGTTGCTGTGCTGTGGTTACTCTTATGGGAAGATTGGCAAAACGTAATCAGTATGCCTGATTCCCTCCCCGGTTTCATTAAAACCGATAATCACTGGCAAACGGTTCTCGAGTGCACAGGCAGTCAAAATCAATCTACATCGAAACTACATCCCATTTGAGTGGAAGTGGCACTTTGCACATATTGTAGGTACTCAATTCTCGATTTTGCTACGCTGATAGTGGTTATGTCAATTTGAAAACGGGACTAGGGTAAGTGTGCCAGTTATGGCCCGGATTCGAACCATGAATGTTGAGATCAGCGGCCTCGTATCTATTTAGATCACTCGTCTGTCAATACTTGTGTAAGAGGACAGGCTAAAGGCACATAAGAAGCGCTCATGGTGCGATATATTTTCATAAGGCATCCATTCGCCATAATGCAAAACATATGAATTACGTTAGTTTATTTGTGACTTCTGAGCTTGTACCGAAATACATTTTGAAAAGAATTAACAACCCTTAAATTTAATAATAAGCGCCAATTAGGGTACCACTAGTGCCAACAAATGGCACACTTACCCTATCAAAGTTTTCACCTGCTTCGAAAGGTTAACCATTACATTCAGCGGGTATGGTTTACTGGTTTGAGGTAAACCTTTCCAACTGGGATACGGTATCTAAAAACCGATGAAGCAGTGTACCGGACGGTGATAGGATTTACTATTTCAGTTTGGGTTTCGCGAAGGTGGAGTTTATATTTAATGGATTTTCGTAACGAAATCCGGCACCACCAATTTCAATTAAATCAATTGTGAATTGAGCTTTCAGTTTGCTTCTTTAATAGAGATTTGAAACATAAAAACCGAATGTCGCACCGAACAATGTTGGCTAAAAAAACACGATAATTAAATGTTAATCCAATGCGCAAAGTGGGCAAAATCAAGCCAAACACGATTTCTCGAGATTTTTCCCATAACAATAGCTAACTAAGCTGTTCACGTCAACCGAAGATTCGATTTTATTTTTCCTCTCTGAATCACTAGGGGCAATGCACCAAGTTTGTGCCGGATTTTGAGTTTTCAAAAATAATCCCCCATTATTCAACTTTGAACGCACGCCAATCACCTTTCGATACGTTCCCAAATAAACGTCAAACCCGAATTGCAAGCATTCCTTCGAAAGTTCGGAAATCACAACATTAAACACCGGACGAAAACATGTTGCAGGAAAAGACTCACAGGGTCACACAGGCAACTTTCTACGCTACTCACCTATGCTGGTATCGTACGCATGCAGGTATTCGGACGTCATAAACTGTGACACTAATGAGCTTTTTCCGACGGCCGCTCCCCCCAGCATCAGAACTCTGTGCGTTGGTTTGTTTGGCCGGTTGGCGAAAATAAGGTCAAACATCGAAACGTTTGCCATCCGGAAGTTGTCGTCGTCGTCGTCGTCGGCGGCGTTGTTTTCGTTTCCGACATTGAGCCAGTCGATAACAAGGACGTGGGAAATCGATGCCGGATGTTTCCGTGGGCAAAGCAAGCGGGAAGAGAAAAGTTGTGACGCAAAATTGAGTTGAAATTAGGAATCGGTTTTCGTAGGACTAACGGATACTCACTTGTACGGACCGGCAGCCGGGTTGGAGGTACTGCTTTCCCTGCTGGACGCCAGGCTGCACGTGGCTGACGTCCGGGCGGAACCGGCACCAACGGCTGTCAAGTGCTCGGTGCTGAAATGGGGGAAAAAAATGATCAGAAGGCTGTGTACGTCGCTACTAGATTGAATTAATTTAAACTTCTAATTGGATTCCGTTCGTTCACTCAGTAGGCTTTTAGTGAGTGCGTGGGTAAATGTGTAAATGGCCGACATGCTTCAACACTTTTCGCCAGCTAGATAGTGCAACTGTAATCAAGATGTTATTTTGCGTTTGAAAAAGTGCCAGCAAATGTCCATTTAGCTTCGGGTGTGGACATTCGCACTGCTCTGTGAAAAGCATGATTTAATTATAATTCCACAGCAATTTCAACTTTTCTGATTCATAACTTTGTTTCGCTCCCCCCGGCCTCGTTTGCCAATTTACTTGTCGTACCACGTGGCAAATAAACTTATGATTCCATCACGCAAAAAAAGAAAATGCGAATGGCAAAAAGTCACCATAATCAACGCCTGCTGAGTCAGACTACATTGGGTTCAACCCAAATTTTCCAGGTTTTTTTTTTCAAGAGAACATTTCCGAATATGAGAAAAGTAAAGATTGGATTCTATCAGTCTATTGATAATACTCCTAGACTGAGTAAAATTGTCGTCCTCAGGAAAACATGAGGCAAATTTATTCATCGCTGAGTTCCTGTGCTTTTTGCGATTATGAGTATACTGAACTCAAATTTGGGTTGATCTCATTGACCGTGTACTGGATTTTTGTTGGACTATTGTTGGGGATTAACTTTCTTATCTCTTCGTTTAATTTTATTCGAGCTTCTTTGTTGTGAAGGAAACATCCTATCCACCTTCATAATTGGCCACCTCTTAGGATGCTGTCCGTCTTTCTAATTACGAAGCTATAAAACTAGTACATCTTCTCTTTCATTTACGGGAAATGCGAGGCTATCTACCATGCAGGAGAGATTGTGTTTTACTGTGGTTAGCTGCTTGCACGCTGCGTAGATAGAAAGAAGATTGATGACGATTGTGAATATTTCCAGCAAATAAAGGAGGGAGCCATTGAAGCCTACCAAGCTGCCAGAAACCAATGCCGTCAAACCATCCGTGAAGCAAAGGAAGCGAGTTGGAAAATCTTCCTGGACGAAATTAACCCAAATCAATCATGCACCGAAATCTGGCAGAGGATCAACGCTATCCGAGGAAACCGACGTGCCCGAGGTTTTGCCCTCCGGGGCCCGGATGGACTCTCCCGAGACCCAGAGACAATTGCAAACCTCCTCGGCGACTACTTTGAGTCGCTGTCCTGCATTGAGGCCTACAACGATGATTTCAGGAACCGTAACGGCGTCTCCACCTCCAGCATCGAGAACGTGACCATACCCGATGACGAAGATACACTCACAATTAACAGGCCCTTCACCATGGATGAATTAAACTTTGCCCTCAGAAACGCCAAAGGCAACTCCTCCGGACCGGATGAGGTTGGATACCCGATGCTGCGGAACCTCCCACCCACGCACAAAGGAACCCTTCTCGAGCTTCTCAACCAGGCATGGACGGGTCGTCGGCTGCCTAACTCCTGGAAGCATAGCCTTATCGTTCCCATCCCGAAAAACCTCGGTCCAGCACTATTACCATAGAGGTAACTCTAAGACCACTGGGTCCCGAAGAAAATCATTATTATTTTTGGCTCACTCAGTACCAGAACAACGGTCCCAAGCAGTCCCAAGCTATTTCACTCACCCCTGCATGTTCTGCATGAATCCACACACCCCTGATGTTATCTGTCAAACTTTCATAGCGAATCAAAACAAACATAGTGTAGTAATAGAATTTCAACTAGAATAGGGTACGTTAATCGTTTGCTTGGGACCAATAGGCTACTAAAGTGGTGAGCCAATTTAAAATCGTTAGTTTCGTATTGATTGTTGCTATTACCGAAGGATTTCCGGCCGATCTCCTTGACCAGCTGTTGCAGCAAAATAATGGAGCGTCTAGTCAACCGGAGATTAGCGAGATTCCTTGAGGGGAGCAACCTACTAGACCACCGACAGCATGCTTTCCGTCCGGGGCACGGAACTGGTACATACTTTAACAGTCTTGGCCAGATAGTACATGAGGCACTCCGGCACTCCGTAAGGACCAGCACGTCGAGGTGGCCTCCCTGGATCTGGCCAAAGCTTACAACAGAGCCTGGACACCCCAAGTACTACAGCAGCTAGCCAGATGGGGCCTCGGAGGAAATATCCTCTACTTTTTAAAGAATTTCCTGCAGGACAGAACCTTCCAGGTGACCGTAGGGAACCACCGCTCCAGCACCAGACGGGAAGAAACCGGGGTTTCCCAGGGTTCCGTAATTGCAGTGACCATCTTCCTGGTGGCAATGAACGGAATCTTTATGGGGCTCCCCAAGGAGATTTACATTCTCGTCTATGCGGACGACATTTTGCTACTGATCATAGGGAATACCCTGAAGGCCATGAGGATAAAGCTCCAAGGTGCGGTCTCCGCTGTTGGCCGATGGGTCGCTAGGACCGGCTTTGAGATATCTGCTGAAAAGAGCTCAATCTCCCACGTCTGCCGCCTTGGCCACCGACCACTTCCAACACCAATCAAAATTAACAGCCACACTATCCCTAGAAAGAAGACCATATCCATCCTCGGGGTCACGATTGACCGGAACTTTCGGTTCGGCACCCACTTTAATGATGTCAGGACTAATTGTCGAACACGATTGAACATCCTCCGCTCCCTCTCCGGGCAGCATAAAACGAGCAACAGGGCCATCGTACTCAATACCGCCAGAGCCATTGTTCATAGCCGACTGACCTACGGAATTGAGCTCCTCTGTGCGTCCAGCGATTCGGTCGTCACCCGACTAGCACCGATATATAACCAGGCAACACGAATTGCGGCTGGACTTCTGCCCTCAACACCAGCCGATACCGCCTGTATTGAAATCGGAGTGCTCCCTTTCCGATATTACATTGCGGAAACAATCTGTACCAGAGCCGTGGGCCTCGACGAAAAATTAAGCGGAGACGGAGAATTCTATCTCCTCACAGAAGGGAAACGAATCCTCCAGGAAATCGCTCACCAGGAGCTCCCCCCGGTGGCCCAGCTCCACTGGAACGGAGCCAGAGAGTGGGATTCTTCCTCCATCCGAGTAGACAAATCCATGGCCAAGCAGTTCCGAGCAGGAGAAAACTCTACGGCCTTGGAGGCGAACCAGCCCAAGGCTGAAAGCCTCCTTAATAAAGTTAAATAATAATAATAATAACTCTACGGCAATGAGATCCTGGCTCACCGAATTATTACAAACACGGTACCACAACTATGAACTCCGTTTCACCGACGGCTCCAAGGCAGGAGGCAGGGTCGGCTTTGGAGTAACTGATGGACAGACCTCACACTTCTGGAGGCTCCCCGATCAATGCTCGGTCTTCTCGGCCGAGACTGCAGCCCTCCATTACGCAGCTTCCCTACCAACCCCCTCCCCGCTATGTATACTAACCGACTCTGCTAGCGCCCTCGCGGCACTGGAATCCGCCACTGCCCGCCACCCCTGGATTCAGGCCATACAAAACCACACACCCCCTGGCACCACTTTCATGTGGATACCGAGACACTGCGGAATTGCCGGAAACACAGAAGCAGACCACCTCGCCGCCATTGGACGAAATGGCCGACTCGCCAACACTTCGGTCCCCAGACAGGACCTGAAAAGTTGGATCAAGTCAACCCTCAGGACGGCATGAGACCGCGAATGGTTCGCCATGAGAGACCTCTTCATCCGGAAGACCAAAGGGGTAACCCTTCCCTGGACGGATGTCCCAAGGTTTAACGACCAGAGATTCCTGTCCCGGTTAAGAAGCGGCCACACCCGCATCACCCACAACATGGGGAGCAGCAGTGGCAGAAACTTCCGCCAAAGATGCGACACCTGCGGAACAATAATGACGGTCGAACACATTCTTATAAACTGCCCTTGTTTCCACGGACCACGAGAACTTTACGGGATCCCGGGCAACATCCGAGACGCCCTTCAGAACGACCCGGTAGCAGAGGCACAACTGATATGTTTCGCGAAGGAGGCCGGAATCTACAAGAGGGTTTAACCCATATACATTATGACAGTAGGCCCGGCATTCCCTGCCGGTAGCGGGTGCCAGGTCTCTCTTGGCAGCTGCTACCGGTGGGGCTCTGCTGGGGTCCTCAAAACAAAACAGAAAACACAAAAGATGACAGCAACATAGGACAGTAAGGCAAAATAAGTTCCCCTCTGGAACCGCAACCATCATTCAACTCCGCAAAATAAAAACTCTGTACCTTCTATCCCTTTGGGATACTCCCTTCTGGGGTGGCCGGAGACGAACCAGCCCAGGGCTGAAAGTCTCCTTAATAAAGATATAAAAAAAATAAAAATTTCCAGCAAAAAGATGATGCGCAAGTAGATGCGAGATATGAAAGAAGATTTTTCGAAGATTCATTCGCTAGTATGAGATTTGTTGAGCATCTAGAATTAAGATTTAGATGTGTCAGCCCCCTCGGGGAAATTACAGTTTCGGCACTTCTCTACCTATTATTGTCAAAAGCTTGTGCCATCAGTCGCCAGATGCGCTAGTATTTTTGTTATAATTTGATTAAAGTTGGTTTTGTGTGCTATGGTCTTTGACATTGTGCGAACAGTACATAATTTTTAATTATGCATTTCTGAAACAAAGAAATAGCAGATTCGCCACCAAAGTTTTCGAGCCATTCCGTCTGTCACTCTCTGTTTGTCATTCCGTTTGTGGTTTTAGAGTGTTATTTTTTTTTTTGCAAAACGGTGCTCTAAAATGTGTTGCACCTTCTTGCAAAAAATCAACACTCAAGGACTTCATTTACTCCCTGACGATAGGTAAAGAAGTGACGAAGCTATCATTTCCCCTGAACATCTCTTGAATCTTTTCTACGGATTGTTGTTGGTTATCTAGGTTAACCCTAAAGAGCCTGAATTTATAAAGAGGCGACATGTCAAAATTGGAACAATCATTATCTGTCAAAGTCATAGGAAAAGTCATTCCA